TATGATCAAATAGACTGAAGCAGGAACTAAGTGCAAAAGTGGCCCCTGGCCTAACATGAGCCACAGGAACAGGCCAGTGGGCAGTAACTGGACGGGTCTGTGATGGCACCCAGCCTCCCATAGCTCCATGTACCCTTTCCATTTACATCCTTTCTTGAAAACTGCCTCCATTGCCTGCCTCTGCAGTAAAGAACAACTTGCCCAGAGTATTTAGGTCACTTGTAACTTTGGGAAGTAGCCATGATCACTCTATTGAGTTTCCCTGTCTTACTCGCACCTTTCTCAAGAGCCTTACACTGTTGATGGAATGGACTACCAATTTCCTTTCTTTGACTCAGCCTGGGAAATCAGATGTTTTCTCCTGGGAATGTGTAGATTCAAGACTCCAAGTGGGCTCTGTTGAGTACTAGACAGAAACTATCTAGAAATGTTTTAAAAAGTATACTGATGCATGACTCTGTAACTGATGTTTGATTTAGGTTTACAGCATTAAATTTATAGCTTTACTGAGTCACAGGTGACTCTGCTCATTACAGTATGTCCTGTGCTATTGGACTGTCATGGAGAAAGGGTGTAGCAGGGTTAATCAGGTGACCTCAGCAGTCAGCCATGCTGGTGTAAAGCCTTTCTGGCCTGATCACATGTCTGAACAAAGGCTAGGCATCAGAAGAAGATGAATCCACACTGAGCATCCTAGTATAGGACTGATTAAGTGTGTGTGTGTGTGTGTGTGTGTGTGTGTGTATGTTTTAATTCTATAAAGGGGGTTATTATTACATTCTATGAATCCAGATAAGAACTTTACCACTAAACCATATATTCTTAGTAGATTATCTGTCATTATCATCTCAGAAAAGTAAAGCATGATTTAACCAAATGGTATCTACTTCTGGGTTCCCATAATTCCAAGCCTTAATTCAGACATTGCATAGCACTTCATGGAAAGCTATGCATAACCTGGAACTATTGCCTGCTAATCTCCTGAGGCTTGGAATGCAGGAGGGTGAGGAAGGTGTGAGGACATGACCAGATCAACACCATCTTATCTTGGATGCACAGAGGAAGACGCTGTGATAAGAAAGACCTCAGCACTCTGGTCTCCTGCAGTCCTACAGAAGGGATATTCTTACCTCCAAGTCACAGGAAAATTGCTCTGGGAGAGCTTACATGGCTTTCTGAGCTAATGACATTATGAAGAGTAAAGAAAATGGCACCCGTTGACCTTTGGGTATGCAGTGAAGCCATGCCAAGTCCCAGAGAGAGAAACGAGTTTTTTAATTCATTGGTTCTGAAGACTCCATCCGCTACCTACCCTGGCAATGTCAGGGTATGTTTGCTATAACCCTGAGTCGATGGCCAGGTCTCTGCAGGAATAAGGGTTCATTTATAACTTAGTCCATTGGTTCCTAGAGGAATGGTGTCTGCCAGGCCAACCTCCTTTCACACTAAATCCGAATTCATGCCAATTATTATTCACTCTGCCATGTGCTACACACACACACACACACACACACACACACACACACAAACAAACATATATATGTATATGCTTATACACACAGACATGCATGTGCATCAAGAAACCAAGGATTCAGCAGTTTGCCTTTTTTTTTTTTATTATCTAAGAGAGCATAATAGCAGGTTAAGTTTACAATTGAATTAAAGGGGGAAAGGGGTAGACCTTAAATCTATATACTTGAGTTGGGTGCTGTAGACTATGCCTTTAATTCCAGCACTTGGGAAGCAGGGGCAGGCAGATTTGGGAGTTCAAGGCCAGCCTGGTCTACAGAGAAATTTCTAGGATAGCCAGGGATACACAGACAAACCATGTCTCCAAAAACAAGACAAAAAAAATTCTGTATGCCCATGTCTAGCTAAGTGCTGAGTAAGCCACTCTTCTAACCTGAGATGATGCTGACTAGGGTTCCTAGCTGTTGCCATGAAAACCAACATGGGTGTCATTTCCTTATGCTACAGAGTTCTATAAGGACACAGAGAGACCCATCAGAATGTAGGACATACAATAATGAAAACTTTACTGAGCACTGGTTAGGTGCCAGCCATGGAGTGGCATTTCTCACAGACGATCTATCATAGACTTGATGATCTACGCTGGGGATATAGCTCAGTCATAGGGTGCTTGTTCAGGAATAAAATTACCTAGGTTCCATCCCCAGCACAGTGTAAAATGGGTGTGGTGGGAAATACCTATAGTCTTAATACCTATGAGATGCAAGGGATTTAGAAGTTCAAGTTCATTCTCCACTATATAACAAGCTTAAGGCTAGCCTTGGCTACATGAAACCCCATCTCAACTCACCCACCCCCTTAAAAACTATAATCTTTACAACTGCCCATGAGAGACAGGCAGTTATGACAACTTGACAAAGCAAAGGTGAAGAACAGTCAACAAGCAAATGGCTGCCCAGCATGTGAATCTAGGTCCCCCCAACTCCAGCACAGTTACTTCCCAGCACTGCCTGTGACCGCCTCCATCCAGAGTGGCTAGCAAAGCACGGTCCACCTCCCACCTTCTTTAATCTCATCTGGTACCATTGCCCTAATTTTGCCAGCTGCATGTTTATTTTTAAAAGGGAAGGCAGCATTTTCCCCTCTGGAGATGGAGCTATAGTTCAGGACATGACTTCAAAAACCAGGCAAGAGGCCACAGAGAAGGAGCAGCTTCGCTTGCCTTTCATAGTGGCGACACAGGCATTTCATTTCCCTAGCTCCCTTGCAACCACCGAGACACGGCCATTGTATTAGCTGAAGTAGTTCTAGCCACTGTACAAATGACTCCCAAGTTTCATTACTTTAACCCTCAAGACGTTTATTTCTCACTTATGTAACTGTTGAACACAGACTTGCAAAAAGCTGGGAGCTAAGGGTTTTTAAGGAGCACATCCCAGGGGCCAAAGTTGCACAACTTTCTTCCCTCTGCAGTGGAAGAAGCCTCCACAGAGCTTCCTACCCTTGCTTTGTGATGCTCCCACACCTGCTATGCCACACCCTGCCAAGGGTTCCTGTCTGCCAAGGCCACCGAGAAAGACCTGCTTCTTGGATCAGGGCTCATTCCCCAGCCCCTGTGGACCTTCCTCCTTTCCTGTTACCTGTCACAGGGTTTTGACACTTCTGACCACAAGGAAGAATTTAAAGCAGAAATGACTTCTAAGGGTACAGGAGGTAGATTGCAATAGCTCCCACTGCCACTCACCAGTGGCATCCCTGGGCAGTTTACTAAGCCCACATATGAGGTCCTCTGAGAATTCCGCCAGGAGCTGAGGAAATGAGGCATAGTTTCTCTGGCTCTTTCTCATGTGCTCTCAGGTCTTGAGGTCTCCCTTAGGGATTAATTTTGATTTCAGAAAAGAGAGGTTTGCCTTCTATGGCCCAGAGGCAGAGATATATGCTCAGGGGCCTGCAAATCTGGGGACTCTAGTCTATCACTGAATATAACTAGTGCCTTTCTGTGCCATTCCTTCAAAGGAGGCATCCTCTTGTCCTCAGGCCTGGGTTAGAGTCTCTCTTCCTCTCTAGTTGACTGCATGTTTACTCTACCACACCCACATCATTGTCAAGGGCCAAGGAACTACCCACACTGGACAGTGATCTCTTTTGCTTTCAGGGTGCTGATGCATGGGGAAGCTGCCTACACCGAGAGAACAGAGGAAAAGTTCTCTGCCTGGAACTCACATGCCCTTGGTCAATGACCCTAGCTTGCTTTCTGGGGCTCTCATTCCCAGCAGCTCCAGTAACTTCAATGAGCCCCCACCCCATGTGTCCTGATAGCTGACCCTCTGAGTAACAAAACCTTATGTCTGTGCACTTTAATGACTCACATTCCATTTCATTCTCTCTTTGGCCCGTGAGAGGGTCAGTGGGTTGTCTCCAAGTTTGACAATCTGAGTTCAAGCCCACCAAATGGAAGGAGAAAACCAACTCCCAAAAGTTGTCCTTCAGTCTCCCTTGCATGTGTACCACCAATAGGCAAATACATTTATGTAAAAAGAATCTGTCTTGCAGTACCTATAAGCGCTACAAAGAAAGTGGCCTCTCATTCCCAGGTGTGCTTCATGTGTCTTTGTGGCATGTGGTCCTCAGAAATGTTTCTCAATGAAAATCAGTGCTGAGAGAATGCCCATGAGTCAATAAGCAGAGACAAACTGAAGAATGTATGAGAGGAGAGAGAGGAGTGAATGGAGGAGAGACAGGTGCAGGTGACAGATGATAGTCAGTATTCTTTGCAAATAAAGCCCTACATCTAGTTAGGTACATAATAAAAAGAATGTATTTATTGCCTTCCTTTGAAAGTACACACATCTAAAGTCCTGTGACTACATTGCATAGAAGAATCAGTATCTTGGAAAAACTCAAAGAGAACCCTGAAAGAAGTGCTGTGTGCTCTTCTGACCCTTCGCCTTGTTCCACATTTTTGTGGCATGAAAGATAGGATGGTTTTGAGCTTAGTGGCCACACTGTATAATGAGGTGACTTCTGGGACAGTTAAGCTGAAAGATGAGAGAATTCTAGGCTTCTGTTGACCATGGTACCACACTGTTTTCCTTTGGACTTGCTGTATGTAGGGAAGAGAGAAATTTACTTTCTACAGATTGTTGTTTTGTGCTTTGTTATTTTATGAAATAAACCCGAACCTAGTACTAAGCAACATGAAGACTTCCAGATCAGAACCAGGGGCAGTCCTAAAATTGAGAGTTCCCTTGTCTCAAGCAGATGCCCTCCAAAAGCAAACTCAAAGCTGTAACATGGAGTCAGAGAATATTGATCCTTTAAAAAAAAAAAAAACAATAAAAATGTCCCTGATCCAAATGTCTGAGGCTAGTGGAGAGAATTATCCTGTGCAAGGCACAATAGTCCTTGGAAATGTCACCAGGGACAGTGTTGGTGATAGAAGAGCCTGGCACACTCATGCTGTTAACAACTCTGCATTTCAACAGCAGAACATGTCCTCTACAGAGTGGACCACGTTGGGGAAGTCTTACCTCCATTAGGGAGTGCCAGTGTGCGATGGGCTTCCGGGGGTATGATAGCATCTCACTCCAGTGGTCTCTGCCCAGCCGCTCAGCCTCGTTGCCTACTTGGCACACGCCGATGACCTCATTGTGACCTACACTGTGAAAATGGGTCACAACAGTTTTTTCTTAAAATTTTGGTATGCAGAAGTAAAAGCAGTTCTCAATCTGTGGGTCATGACCCCTTGGGGGGTGTCATATATCAGACATCCTACATATCAGATAATTATATTATGATACATAACAGTAGCAAGATTACAGTTATGATGTAGCAACAACATAATTTTATGGTCGGGGTCACCACCACATGAGGAACTGTATTAAAAAGTTATTAGGAAGGTTGAGGACCGTGTGTGAAAGCAACAACTCAAATGGGTGGAGGAAAATCAGAAGTGGTGGGCTATTTAAAAAAAAAGACTTCTCTAATTTATAACAACAATCCAAACTAAACATCAGAAAGATCTAGAGGGTTCAATACTGTATCTAAGTTTCCTAATACTGGCATGGGCTCATTTGGCCCTGAGAACCTTTGCTCAAAGAACTCCTTGAGTTGAGCTAATGACACTGTTTCTAGTTCTGGAGGCTAAGCTGGCTTCCAGATTTACAGAACAAAAAGGAACCCTTAGGAAGGAGTGATGTATAACCCACTCAAATTCCCACAAGAGGCAACCAAGGATGGTGTGCTAAAGGCCGGTGGGAATGCTTCCTGGGTCTCCTTCCTCCTTGCTTCATTAGAAACTGCTGCCATCATCTTCTGTACATCTTTCTATGCTCAGCTTTGATTCTTTGAGCCAATTTGAGTTTTTAACTGTGACAGACACCCAGCTGCTTTAACTTAGGGCTGAAACTTTCCAAGAGAAGTCTCTGAGTTGTCATTTTACTTTTTCCTTAGGGGGGGAAAATGCCCCTTGCAATAACCAGAAGGACATGGCCCATCCTTGGACTCTTCATGATAACCTCTTTTTCCTCCCAGAAAAGACAAATGGCTTCTATTCTATTTGTGTGGGAAGAAGAAGAGGTGGGAATGGACTGTCTAGGATAGTTAAGTCTGTGTTCATTAAAATCAGATGCACGTAGAGGCCCTGTGCACACTGTCATGGGTTCTTCCAGACCACCATCATGAGTTTACTGATAATTGAATTGATGCAGAGATCACATAATCAGATTTGTTGATGCAGGAACCTTGGTAATAGCTTAGGAAGCGCTGCCCTAACCTTCCAAAGCTGTTGGGCAGCATTGCCTCCTGGGACATGGCACCATGGTGTTGTATGTGTCCAGAGAAGACAGGGCAAGGGCTATGCCCAGCATAAGCTGTCACACTCAGGGGCAACTGTGTCAGAAGACAAGGCATGCTTCATGTTGGGATCTAATGGAAAGCACTGAGGTCACTGAGGCTGCTGTGCTGACATTTCAGAGGTAGATGGAAAATTTTGTAGCTACAAATAATATTTGTAAGATTATATTAGAAGTCAGACTGATTTTTTTCTTTTATAATTGTTCCCAGACCACGTGGGAGGTTTCTAATTAAAAAGAGACTTTGCATTTCAGTCTAATGACTGGTTTAACATGTATAATTCCCTGTTGGTACTTCCTTTGCATATTAAAATGACTGTTTTTCAAATCTGTCCTTTAAATACACAATTGGCTACAATGCAGGCTATAAATATCTCCTCTGTGCTGTATTAATTAAAAAGTCTAGCATCTTATACATTTTAATGTACCCTGTCATCCATACTGATTCTAGCATTTTCAAGAGAACATTTCTGTGTTTGCTTTCAGACTTAAGTGGATGGAAATGATCTTTATTAAACAGTGCAAGAAGGAAAAAAAAAGATCGAAGTTATATATTTAGAAACGTTGGTGGCGTGGCTAAAGTAATCATTCTATGTTTTGGGTAGAATCTTTCTACTAAAGGAGTCAGGACTGCTTAATGAGAACAAGACCTGAGGGACCATAGTTCTCCATAGAGAGATACCAGGAAGCATGCAAAGATGGGAAGGAGGAAAGGTGGCGTGTGGAAGGGTGGAGGAGAAGAAAGATAAGCAATTGGGGAGGGGAGAACTGAGAATATTAGAAGTACTGTAGTAACAACATTCTACACTAAGGTTTGAATGATGTCTCTGTCAGCCTGCTTCCCACATGCTGCCCTTTCAGTCACTACATCCTGGGACCCTAGCTGAGCTCCCTAATATGGTTGCTCATGTGGCTGCTTCCTAATCTGCCCATCCTGCCCCAAGAACAATGAGACTGCACAGACCAAGAGCCCCTGGCACCTCACCGGTCATAGTCCATGACAGCTATGGACAAGTGGATCTGGTCGATGCTCTCAGGAGGGACGTCGAAGACTATGGCTTCATTGTAAACGGGATTAAGCGTGTTCCTCTTGGTGGATGTTTTCCTCTTCTTCAGTCTCCGGCCATCACACATCAGTGACACTTTCACATAGGGATCTGCACAGGCATGAGAACAGGGCATTATGAGGACAAACGGAGACGCTGGGGTGTGTGGCCAGTGGAGGAAGACTCCCCTTCTCTGTCTGGAGACTAGACTTTGAGTATTTTAATTCATGTGATACGTGATGTGGGCAGTGACTACTTAGAACAATTAAGTTATTCATTCAAGAAAAAGCACAGGACACTGTCTCCTCAAAATTCATGAAATTTAAAAATAGGGTGAAAACATCTGTTACCAAATTAGAAAATATACCAACCAGAATTCAGGACCAGCCGGGCTGTGAAAGGAAGAGAATCAGACATCTCTAAGGAGCAGGAGACAAGACTCAGCATCCCAACTCTGAGCTCCTCATGGAAATCTTTGCTAAAGATTGAGCCTCTAAGAAGGGGAATGCTTCTAGTTCTATAAGTTCTGAATTCCTAGAGAATGAGGCAACCTGTGTGCATGGATGGCTTTAAGTACCGGGAACTCCTAGAAATGTGTTTGCAAAGGGAGAAGCTGTTCATTAATCAGGAAGAGAGAGGATGGGACATCGTAGCATAACCAAGGTAGATCTACAGGGGACAAGGCTGGCTGCTTTGTGGAGGGGGCACTTCTGGCTCCATTAGCTTCTCAGTACCATGCAGCTCAAAAGGGAGTCCTGTATTTCTCTGCTTAACTACAAGCAACCCTGACTCCTTATCCCTTCCAGAAGGTACTTTAAGCCAGAGGAGCTGTATCTTTGTTTTTGTTTTTCCTTTCTTAGAACCAGCCAGAAGTATAGAACAGAATATATCAACATGCTGGAGTAAAGGTCAGTCAGTAATAAGCTTGTCATGCAAGCATAAGACCTGAGTCAGATCCTACCTTCCATGGGGGATGGCATGCACTTGTAATCCCAGTGCAAGTGGAGACAAGAGGGTCCCTGGTATTTCCTGTGCAGCCACAGCCTCACCATGGAGCCCAAATCTCAATGAGAGAACCTTCCTCAAAACTCAAAGTCAGAGATGGCATTTACTCCAAGTTGTTGATATAGTCTATGTCCTATACTCCAGGCTGGTTCTAATCAAGGTTAAAAAAAAAAAAAAGGTACAGCTCCTCTGGCTTGAAGTACCTTTCAGAAGGGGTGAAGAGTCAGGGCAGCATGTAGTTAGGCACAGAGATACAGAGCTCCATTTTAGCTGAACAGTAGGAAAGGGCTAGTGAGAAATGATTCATGGGGAATGACACCAAAGGCTGATCTCTGGTTTTTACATCTACATGCATGCACAGGTCCCCTCACGCATAGACAGACAGACACACACACACACACACACACACACACACGCACGCGCGCGGGTACATGTGCACATCCCAGCAACAACAAGAGAATGCACTGTATCTCAGGCTCTTTGAGTTCAGTGACCACAAGCCAGTGTTCTGTGTGATAGTGAGCACATGGCCAAAACTGATATGAATGTGCATAGTATGAACTTCACAAGGAGACATTTTGTGTCAGGGTTTACAATGTAAAGGTATATGTTTGGTTTACTGGAAAAAAAAACCCCACAAGCTATATAGTTCATGTTTATAAGGAGTCAGAGTTGTCTCTGATCTTCAATGAGCCTAAGATACTGAAGTCAGACGAAAGGCCTAACAGGGTAGACCACCTCAGAATATGCACACTGTAGGTCGAGTCCCAGTTACAGCAAAGGAAAGGCTCAAGAGTCAAGTAACATCATATAGCATCTTAATACACCACGCAGTTTCATGGTCTTATACATATCACCTCAGTTAATCATACAACACCTCAATGGGCCAGAAACTAATCTTAACTCTCACTTTGCAGATGGGAATTTGAAGCCTAGAGTGGTTAAGTGCCTTATCCAAGGTCACGCAGCACTTAGAGGTGGTACAACCATGATTAAACCTAAGCGACCCAGATCCGAGGTACCATGATAGGAACTTGATGACGTGCCAAGTTAGACCACAGGAAGAACGTCCCACCTGATGCTCCTGTTATGTCCATCGCCTTTAAGTTCCTTGCTTTTATGATGGTGATGGTCAGCCTGCCAGCCGTTGGAAGATAGCAGAGTGAAAACATAAGCTCGCCCAGATCCACATTATCCTGTTCAAAGAGCACAGAGCAGAGCATTAGACAGTGTCCTCAGCCCACGTGCGGGAGGCTCAGCTGCAGGGCAGTGTTAGAAAGGACGTTTTGCTCCTCTTGTTCAGCTCCTGACACAGAAACCCCACCTCTGTACTGTGGTGGCTCTTCATCTATGGAAGCACAACTCATCTGTTGAGAGCAGAGCAAAGGAGGCTGTCCGCAGAAAGCCACCACATGTACAACCCACTTGTACAATCTCATTCCGGGTCTGCAGCATTCCCAGAGTGTCCTTCTATGTGGCTCTACTCATATGTTTGTGAGAATCATGGTTCTCAGCACAAAGCCACACAAAAGGAGCTTCATGGGGGCTGATCACCCCAGCAGAACTCAGAGATTCTTCCCACAACTTCTGTGGTCTTTCCAGCAGGGCTTCACTCTAACTGCTATGCTAGCCCTCTACACAGAGCCCTCAAATGAGCCGAACCATCTCCACACACTCCTGCAGAGCCCAGTCTCCCCCGTCCTCTGTACTGCCATGTGTATACTAGAATACTGCAAATAACTTCTGTAGAGCAATAGCAGGTGGTTCCACCAGCTGATGGAATCTTCTAGCCCCTCATTAACTCTGGACCAGGATACTGCATGATCATGGTAGTGACAGCCCCTGACCTCGTGTTCCCACATAATTGGACACACTGGGACACAAACCTAGTCCTGCACAGTATCCACGCTGGGAGAAGTTCAGAAGCCAGACTTTAGGGATCCCTCCTGTCTGGTCCTCAAGGTCCCACTTAGCTACATCCCATCTTTGTTCAAAGAGCTCCCATTCCATCTACTGGGATACTGGGGAAGACATTTCCTTGGGCAATGTACAGCCAATCCAAATAGGTCAGGAAATATGAATCTCTTTCTCTCTCTCTCTTTTTTTTTCTTAAAGCCCAGGAGAGTGTAACTAGGAAGAGGAAAAAAGCCAGTTCATTTAGTTTCAATTTCTGTGAGATACCTGAGGTTATAGATCTGGGTGCCTGTGTCTAATTAATACGGTTTCATACTGACAATGCTCTGGGGACTTGGGTCCTAGCCCTTAACATCCACAGCCTCCCCTCCCCTCCTCCTGGGTTCTTGGAGGATGCTTCTATTTTTAGAACACAGATTCAGCTTTGGAAGGTCACCTTGCCAACCTCCTGCCTTGACTGCTGCCACAGGAGGAGGAGGCAAAGGGATCTGTTTGGTAGCTAAGGCAGATGGATTGGTCTGTGTCTTCAAGCATCGCCTGGCTCATGCAAATAAATCACATCACCTTGCAGCCCGGGCTGTCCTGGTTTCTGGAGCCTTGGCCCTAGGAAACCCGGGTGGCCAGACCTTTCCCTGTGGTGAGAAGTTGGGGAGCATTGTACCAGAGTGAGGTTTCACAAACGGCAGGTGCTTGTTGCTATGTGGTGCTGCGTTCACTTTTCCAGGACCCCAACCTTCCCTTTGCTTTCTATACCCCAGTCCACCCCTGTGTCCTTGAATTCTATTCTCCCTTTCCAAAGTATCTTGCTCGCTCGTCCTACCTCATCCTGCCCAGAGAATCCCAATTTGAGAAAGTTATTTTAAAAGTGGCCAAAATCATGCCCATGAAGGTTCCATAATCAATTCTTTCAGCATCTATTTCCTGAGGGCTCACACTGTGTACCTCACTCTGAAAGACTTGCAATGGGAAATAGACTCATTCCACTCGTGGCTTCCCGGGCACATAGTTAAATGTCAAGTGTCAGATTCCTTCTGTACTAAGTATGTAGAATTGTGGCTTTTTTCCCACCATAAATTCCATTCATAAATATTTCTTTTGTAAGACTGTGCACACATGAGTTGAAAGGAAACAACAAAACACTCAGACAAAAATCCATGATTGTATCTTTAAAAACATGTAAGTTAAACAAATAATTTATCAAAGCAAACGTTCTTGATCTGCAAGTGATTTAAAAAGAAATCTTGTGTGTGTGGGATGTGGCTCCACACAGATAGTGGAACACTCCCAGCACTTGAGAAGTAGAGGCAGGAGGATCAGATTTAAGGTCTTCCTTGGCCACATAAGGACTTCAAAAGCAGGCTAGGTTACATGAGACCATGCCTCAAAAAAGAAATCAGTGTGTGTGCATTTTCTAACATTTTACTTATGAGAGTATTTACCTATAAAATAATTGCATAAAAATGATGCTGAAATGATGGCTCAGTGGTTAAGAGTGCAAGCTACTCTAGAGGGCCAGAGTTCAATTCCCAGCATCCACATCAGGAGGCTCACAGCTCCAGGAGAACTGATGCCTCCCCACTTGCATTTGTGTGTATAAACTGACATGCTTGCACACATGATCACACACACAAAACTTAAAACAACTATTAAAATATAAAATGACAGTAAAATTCAAAAATTGAGAGATTTACGTAAAGCAGTAAAAAAAAAAACTCCCTTTCCCATAGACAACACATAATGCCACTCGTCCTCAAAGTAACACTGTGAATAATCATTAGGCATTCATCATTCATTCATGCATTCATTCATTCATCATTTGTTCATGTTCACTTACTCTTTTATATTATTTCATCTTATTCATGTATTTTGCCTGTGTATATACATGTGCACCATGTGTCTGGTGTCCATAGAAATCAGAAGAGAGCAATGGGTTCCCTGAAACTAGAATTAGAGATGGTTGTGGACCACCGAGTAGATGCTAAGTACTGAACCTGCATCCTCTGCAAGAGGAACAAAAGTGCTTTTGAACCACTGGGTCATCTCTCCATCCCTCATTCCTTAATCTGGGGTGCCTTTTGTGGCTATAAGTTCAGCATTGTTCTTCCAGAGTTTTGGGGCTGAATCTACAATACTAACTCAAAGCCATCATCACTTGAGGGGCTAGGAGATTCCTGCATTTGGTAATGCTGCTTTTCCCCATTAGCTGATACAGGTTTGAGATCAAGAACCTACAGATCTCTCTGTGTGGACATTCCCTTGAATCAGTGCTTCTCAACCAGAAGTAAATGTGCTCCTCAGAGGTTGATACAATCTGGAGCAACTTCTGATTGTCACCTTCGGGGACTCACTCTGTTACTGGTATCTGCAAAAACATTACACAGGTGAGCTTCAGTTACTTAGTCCAAAATGTGACTTGTGCTAGGGTTTAGAAAATGATGTGCACAGGACTGCTGAGATTCCTGGCAAATTTTCTGGAATGCTGAGGAGAGTCAAATATAAAGAAATGGTGGGATGGCTGCCTTCTTGTTCAGACAGACAGAATAATAATGCAGAAGTTATCACTGGGTACTGAATACCCTGGAAGATATAAGGGGAAGGGAAATGCCATGCAGAGAAATGCTTCATTGGCTCCTGTTTTATGTGGTCAGAATGCATCACTGTCAGCAAGGCACACTGGGAAATTCTCTGGAGTGTAAGTTCCCTATCTGCCAATCTATAATCTCCCTTCTCTGACTGTGCCTATAGTGGTCAACGTAGTTGTATTTTCTGGCTAGCCAGTGCACTTTTATGCTGTCTCTGAATTCTCCTAGTGAATTCCTTTGACATTCCACGGCATCCTAGAAGGGGGGCTGCAGGAAACTATGCTAACCACAATATTCAAAGGGTGGGTACATCACCTGAGTGAGTTGTTGGAGTCACTCCTAGGATTGATAACTAAATATTTTTAAAAAAACCTGTCATTTTACTGATGTTATTCACTAGAAAACAAAAGACTAAAACTGTGTGGTTTTTACATGATATATAGTAAAAGTAGAATCACATCACTTTAAGTTGACTTATATATGTTAAGGGTGTCTAATACATACTCCAAAGAGAAAACTAAAGTAATAGAAAGAGTTTGTGGCTAAAAAAAAAAAAAGAAAAGAAAAACATGAGTTAATATAGGTATGTGGAAACAGTTAATAATTGAAAATGGATGGGTAAATATGGGAAGGGGGCGCGGGTCAGAGAGATCTAACAGAAATCAAAAGCAAGTTATAAGATGACAAATTTAAACAAAATGATCTCAATAATCGCATTAAAAATAAATGGTCCAAATCTTTGTATTTAAAAGTTCCTGAAGGTGAGACATACTGACGGAAGCCCCAGTAAAGCCTCAGTTGCCTGCTTAACCTTAGATAAGCAGTGTCATTTCTCAGTCAGCTCTTCTCAGGTATCTCCTTTGGGGAAATTGCTATCTAAACACAGGTTTGATAATAATGAAAGTTAAGTAACACATAGGGACTGCGGTGATGGTTCAGGTGGTATAGTCCTTGCCTTACAAGCATGAGGAACAGAGGATTCCCAGAACCCGTGTGAAAAGCATGGTGTGCTGGCACAAGCCAGAAACCCCAGCACTGGGGAAACAGAGCCAAGGCAGATGCCTGAGGCTTGCTGTCCAGATAGTTGAGCTACAGGGCAGTGAGCTACAAGGCTATGGAACATCTGGTTTCCTGTCTACTTTTCCTCTTAGTATACTATTCTTCAGTATGACAGCTCACCAAGAAACTCCATTTTATAAAGCACACCTTTCAACAAAAACAAACAAACAAACAAACAAACAAACAAACAACCTTATAAGAAACAGTAGCAAGTTCAATCCTAGTTACAAGAGTCCTGGATGTACTTTATCTTCAGCCATAACAATTATATTGAGGGGCAAAACCAGGTCTTTTTGTAACACGGCCTCTGTTAATAATGATCTGCTCATCCCCTCTCCCCAGATACTCCAACTGAATTCCTGATATAACCCCAAGACATAGCAAAATAAATCAGAGGGTGGGGGAGGCCCCATTCAGTGACAATTCTGATGATAATTAGCATGCATTGTTAAAGTAACTGTTGGTTGCACTTTATTTATAGGTATTAACATGATTAATTGCATTGGAAGTGTGCCTGGAGGATGACACTTTCTGAGCTGGTGCTGGGACACAAGTGAACCTGTAGCCCGCACAGAGTAGTGGAGGAGGCCGGCATCAGCCCACGCTTTCCCCCCATATGACATGTTCTCAAAGGACTGACT